TCTGTCCACCACCTCCAGCAGGCTGCAGTGATGGCCGTGTGTCACAACTACACACAAATGGCGATGACATCACGTGATCTACTAGACAACGGGCAGAAATGAAATGACAATGCCTACGCGCTACGTCACCTTCCTTGCTGCTGTCATAGAGGTTGTAGGAGAAGAGCTCAGGTGGGAGCAGCTTGGCCACTTTGTCCAGCCTCATCAAGCGTCCCAGCTTCAGCCTGTCGGGTCTGGAGGAAACAAGATAGGTGACAAAAGGGACACCAGATTGGTCTTTGGCTTGCTCGTGATCAAGTCAGGTGAACCGAGTTTTAACATCAAATAAAACGGGACTATTACGGTCAATGAAACCTGAACGCACGCAAAACCATGTGGTGCAACCATGTGCCAGTGGGAAAACAAAAAAAGACACTATTTGGGTGAAATGAAGTAAAGGCAGACCAGGAGGAACAATTGTAACATAAACATGGACGCACACAACATCGTGGAGCGACCACATCAGTCCCGACTGCAACGGCAATCCTCTCCACCCGGGCTGAACAAACAATTGAATACAAATCGACGTCACAAATCAGTAGGATGCAATTTTCAAATTGCAAAGGCTACAATAAAATTAAATAATAATAATAATAATGTGTGTGTGTGTGTGTGTATATATATATATATATATACACACACACACAGAGAGAGAGAGAGAGAGAGAGAGATTTTTTTTAACCTAAAACCTTTATTTAAAAAATAATTAATTCTCGTTTTTTGTAAAGAGTCATAATTAACAAGTTATTTGATTTCCAAAAAAATAATAAGAATAAATAAATAAACAAATATGTAGCTTTTACTCCGTTTTATTTTATCACTGCACTGACCACAGTGGGTGATGATAATGAGAAATATTTCAGGACTTTTGGTCATGTAACATTTGAGTGGGACGGATCAGAGAAAAAAGTTTGCCGGATGTGGTGCCCTAGTCATATTTTTTCCACCCCTGCGTGGATCGAACAGCCAGACGCAATCAAGTTGCCGCTGGCAACCACTCACAGTTTGTGTGGGAGGAAGGGCAGCCATGACGAGCGCAAGGAGATGGGGAAGAGGATCTTGTCGTCGTGCACCAGGTCGCCGCTCCACACAGTGAAGTGTTCCGGCTCTGAGGAAGAGACCAAAGCCGTGCGACCATTTCGGGCCACCTTCCAATGAACGCCTCGATCAATGAAATGAAACGAGGGCGATCGCTCACCTTTCCTGGCCTCCCCCGGCCAACTGTTCGCCCTGCGCCACAAACACAGCATCTTGTCAGTATGCATGCTAATGCAGAACTGTACATTTGCACTCATTCGTGGTCATTTCATTTAAACGCCCCTGTGAAGTAACTTCAGAGAATTGTTTAGAAACACATTATCCATGTTTACACATAATTGCTGAACCGTGTGCAAAGACTGAGAACTCTGCAGTACTCAAATTGTGGGGATTTTCCACCATTTCATGTTTCAGATTTTTTTTTTTGGGGGGGGCAGCATCATATTTGCTTTCATCGGGTGTCTGAAGAGGCATTGCAAATGACAATCTCTTCTCAACTGCCTTACCTGGATAAATAAAATGAAATGTTGTTACCTGACGGGGGCCAAAGGCATGCTGGGAAGTGGCGAGTCTTTGCCTTTATAGTGGTAGGACACCACAGCATAGGGGCACACCTGGCGGGGGCGCTCTTTCAGCTCATCAAAGTCGTACTCGTAAAAGTAATGCTGCAACATGAGCGCATGTCTGACACAAAAGCCAATAAAAACATGTTGACAAGGCGAGCCTTTGCGTTTGTTTACCTGGGTGTGCTCGAAGGCCCGGTAGGAGTTGACGGAGGTGACCTTGCTGAAGTTCTTGGACAGGTGGCTGTCGAAGCGGGGAGTGGGGTCTAGCACATTCTTGATGTTCTCGTAGATGCTCTTGACTTTCCCCTTAAACAGAGATGAAAGTGGACTTTTCCAAAAATCCCGGAAAAAAAAAAAAAAAATCCGATCACGCATGAATTAGTTTACACAAAACGCTATTCAAATACTCGACATTCAATGATTAATCTTCCTTTTGTGTGCACACATGCACCCTTTGTGGCGTCCGAAATCTCCGAGATATGGCGAGGCCATGAGAATGCGAGGCGAGGGTTTTACTGTTGGGGCGACGCTTAGTAAGCGAGCCTCAGCAGTAGATAGTCCGCGAGGCGAGGGTATGACTGTTGTGGCGGCGCCACTCAAGCTAAGCGAGCCTTAGCACTAGATAGTCCGCTGCTCTCTGCTGTGCGTGCTTCAGCGCGAACATGTACGCAAGCACGTCTTTTGATTTCAACCAATCAGCGCTGACGCAACCGACGTCACACACGACAACAGTTAAGCTAAGTTAGCCGAGACGACACTCGAAGTCGGACGGACACGTTTTTCTGCCAATCTGTTTCCCTTTTTGTCCAAATATATTTTTTACGACAACTGTCTTGTCCACGGTGTCTTTTATTCGTTCCACTGGGGTTTAGTAAGTGTGTTTATAAAGAGACGAAAATCTCTTTACTGTTACTAGTGTTAGTGTCTCAACATGGCTACGCTCGTGAAAGCAAAACAACGAACTCAAACGCGTCTTTGTTCAATGTTGTCAACTAATATCCGGATTCATTTTAGGTCAATTTTCCTCAATTCTCCGGAGAGATTTTCATCAAAATTTGAAAAACCCGGAATTCCGGGAAAATCCGGAGGACTTTCATCTCTGCTTAAAGCACGCATGCGCCCTGATCAGCGACCGCGTCGCAAAACGCCATCCGCGGGTGACCTACGGGACGACTCACCTTCATGACTTTGAAGACGATGATCTCGCCGGAGGCGCCGCGATGGAAGGGATTAACCTGAATTAAATCGGAATACCTGCACAAATACACTCCTGTGGAGGGAGATAAGGAGAGAGACAAACACGGCAGACACCGAGAGAAAGAGACAGTGAAAGACTGGAACAAAGAGAGATGGCCGGAGACACATCGACAAAAAACAGAAGGAGAGAACCACACACACAAAACCATAAAGGAAAATTTGATGCATGGCTCCCACCTTTATTGGGGTCTCCCAGCGCTGACTGCCAGTTTTGACCCACAATCAGGCCTTTCTCACACAGCCATGGCACCTACAACACACACACAAAATTGAAAATAATGCATAAGATGAAGACTATTCCGTATAAATATTGCACAACATTATCACGCTGCTTACTTTGGCTTCTTCGGTCAAAAGGAAGCAGTAACTCTCCTCCAGCTCCTTGTCTGTTCGGCCCTCCGCCTTCATCTCCCTCCTCTTCTCCACAAACTGACACACACACACACACACACACACACACACACACACACACACACACACACATTTTTAAAAAAAAAGATGGATAGCCACATTATTTTTCTATCATACCACATTATTTTTCTATCATAGACCATGACGGAGGTAATATAGTCGAGAAGATGGCTCGCACCTCCCTCTCCAGCTGTTCACTGTGGACCAGTCGGGGACAGCTGTAGGTGAAGCAGCCTGCCGAGGCCGCGTCGACGTGGCCAGCGGTCAGGATGGTCATCACGCCCTCGTACTCTCGTGACTCGCCGGAGATATGCTTCAACAGAGCTGCACAAATAATCATAAGAACTAGAATCCTTACATTTTTAAAGCACCTTACAAGAGAAGACAGTGATGGACACTCGTTCTTCGTGAGAACTATAGAACACAATCTTGCTGAATGACAGTGCCATACTCGTTCTGCATGTTCAAGAGTTTGACATTTTTATATTTATATATTGAAACCGTGTATAGTGTTGCAATGACTCGTAATAATATTCTTATATTTATGAATACTTGGTCATGGTGTCATCATGGTGGTACTTCGAGCGCTCAGTATATTTCTACGGTAGGTGGTACTGTGAGAACGGCTGGCTAAGATTAAAGTGACCATCAATTGATCAAAGGATTAATGTAATATTGATTAAAGTCTTTAAGTCACGCGGAAAAGCTCCAAAGCTAGTTGTCTAGCATCGACGTGCTTGGTTTTTAAAACGTTTCAATTTGAAGGAAAATTGTCACACTGTAGTCAGTTGCTCGGTCTCGGTCGGCTACTTGACCCACCTTTCTTCTCCTTCTTGGGGATGTGGAATTTGTCGGGCTCTTTCGGCATGTGCCTCTCGTGGACGGGCGACGGTGCTCCCGGTCCACCGCGGCCGCCTGGAAGAGCCTCCATCCGTTTGATAAGAGGCTCTCCGAAAGAAGGAAGGAGCGCGCTCGCACACTCGCCATCTTGCACGCTAACACTAGCCCCGCGGGACTCCGAGGATACCCTCCTCGGCGGTGGGTACGGCACCCTCCGCGTCACGCCGTATTCCATCGGTCCCGGCCCGGTCCTCACCCTATCCGTCCGCCGTCCGCACAGCACCGCGACACCGCCGTTGTGAACTTCTTCTCGTTGGGATGCGCGTTAGTGTATCATTGGTATAGTTCTCAACACAACAGACGCCATGTTTTTTGCCGTGTACTTCTTCTTGGCTGAGTTGTTGTCGCAGTTTGAGTGCAGAACGATACTCTGCTCCCACCTATTGTTCGTGTCTTGTAACTGCAAAACCGCATTTCAAAAAGAGAGCGCTTGGACAGGTGGATGTGGATGATAGAAGGAGTCATTTACTTTTAATTTTGAGATTGGTATTTTAGATAATGCTATTTGATTTGAAAGTATTTTTAATCATTTTATTTAATTTTGAAGTACATTATTTGGAATTGTAAATGCACGCATTAATTAGATTTTATTTCAACATTTCAATTGAAACAAATAGATGGCTGGTGGAATCTCGGGTTATGACCGAACTCAGTTTGCCTCCAAAATGACATATCGGTTTGTGAAACTTAAAAAAATCTTGAGTCCTGACGTGATCAATTATATTTAATTTCAATCAGACTTTTAAACATTTTAAAATTTAAACTTAATGACACATTGACAGGCGACACTTGACAGATATGAATGGCTTTATTTCTACATCGATGTACACATATATATATTATACAGCAGTTCCAGATATACACATTACAGTCTTTTTCCGATTGTCATTCATTTGGGAAAAATTTTCAAATCGTCATAATCATAACACAGCAGGCTGCACATGTGAGATGAGTCATTACAGGGAGGAGTAATATGCCCCTTTCGTCAAACTCATTTTGACAACACGGTGACATCATAGGATGACAACATAAGAGCATGGGGGCAATATATTATGTATGACCGGCGATTAATCCCCACATGCCGACGTCAGACTACGGGGACTTAGCCTGATTTTGAGCCGACAGACAAACATAGTGTCTCGTAGCCGATTTTGACTTGCCTTGTGGCAGCATCGATTTGGCAGAGTGACAAGAAGCTGTCAAAGGGCAGACATATATTGTTATTCCTCTCAGTTCTGAATAGTAATAAATACATTATTGCAGTGAGTGTCATAGACAATGTTAAAATCACTGAGGTGTTGTTTTTTGTTTTTTTTTGATGATGAGCCCATTTCCCACAGAGACATCACAAAAATTAGCGAATCTGAGTCAGGGACAGTACATGTGAAATTGAACCATATGTGCCTTTCACATAGAATCCAGAGAAGAGAAGTGAGTGTTGGATGTTAAACTCAAGTCAAACATTTCCTTTGCACAATGTTCTGTGTGCCCCCACTCGTCTAAACCCGCTGACATTAAATCCAACACTGCCCCGTGCTGGCGAAGGGATATTGACAGCAATGCGCCTCCGGGCTCGCATTGCAAATGTCATGTGACCTAGACAACGGGTGATCCGTATCCAATGCGAGCCCAAAGGCAGATTAACATTTATGTAACGGTGGTTCTGGATAAAAATAGCCTGTTTGCATAAATGAGGGCAAACAGAATTATGGGAAAGAAATTTTTTGACTTGAGCTCCCCTTTTCACGCTGCACTTAGTAACACGCAGCATGTTGTCGCTGGTGGATTGATTTCACAATCAACAAGTGGTAAACGTCTCCCTGTTTCTTCCTGATTGGCTGCCACGCAAGGACTACCAAATATAGGCAAGCAGTCACCGGGGCTCCGTTGTCCTTGAACACAAAGAAAACCAAGTGTGGTGTGAAAAAGCCTTTACACACAGGATACGACATCTTAAAGCAGAAATTTCTGTTAGACAGAACAGCTACAGGGGGGTTCGGCTTTTCCAAGCTTTTAAAGTGACTGCAGCCAGTGGGTTTGGTGAAAGTCTCTTTGGTATTTGTTGTCCCTGGTTACCATGGTGACCATACATTTACCCAGACCTTTCTGGTAGTTTGTGAAGTGCAAACATCAGCATCGTATGTTCTCTTCGTCACTGGCGTCCTTGTTGAACGCCTCCATTTCCTCCTCAGCATCCCCATTGCGTGTCTCACCGACGTCGTCCTCCATTTCCATCCTCAATTCGGCCTGTTCCGTCTCCATGGCCACAGCGGCATCACTTCCCGTGTCCGCTTTCCTTGCCGTCCTGTTCTCACCTTGCTCGCACAGCCTTTTGTCGTCCTCCGGCTCCGATTCTGACTCCATCACCAACTCTGGTTCCAGCTCCGTCTCCAGCTCCTTCCTGATGTCTTTTGCCAAACACGGTCCATTTTCCTGTGCCGCTTCCGCCTCCGCTGCCTCTTTGGCCTGGCGGATGCAGTTGATCCACTGCTGCTTGTTGAAGGCGTCGCTGGCTTGGAAGCAGTGACTCTGCGGAGCGCCACCCGAAACCCGGTACGACACGCGGAAGAAGTTTTTTGCTGCCAGGACACAAAACATGAGGCGGTCATGTGAAGCGAACCACCCCTGCCGTAACTTCCACTCAATGACACAAAGTCTGAGGCCATCGCCAGCTTCGGTTTGTTGTATAACGGTCATACAGACACTTTGACATTTCAGCAAAACGTGGACGCGACCAATATGGATTTTTCGAAACCGATTCTGATTCAGATTTTTGATACATGAAACCAATAACCAATTAATCCGCCGATTAAGCAACGTAAAATGAATGCAATAACTTTTTCGGGTCCCTTAACACTTACAATGAGTTACCGCCAGAAAATGTGATATTATAATAGAATAATATATGTAACATATGAAATATAGAGTTTATAATACTACATCTAGTATTTGTGTAATTATACAACTGAGAGAAAAATTATGACAACTGAAAAGAAATCTTAAAAAAAAAAGAAAAATCACCAAATCAATTTTGATCAATTTTCCAAAAATGTTTGTGTCATGTAAAGAAAAACAAAGACCTAAACTTGAAAAGGGTTGATACCAGTCAGTTGGGCAGTACAGGAACCTCCCCGGCGATTCGCAAATCACCAACAAACAAGGGGTCACCGTATTTCTCAACACGTTTGTCTGAGAAGGGGTTTTGAGCGTTGGCGCAGGTCGGAGACATTTATATATAAAAACGAATGGCCGGAGACTTTGACGGCGACTTGCATCTCGTCACTACTGACTGCGCTCGTTGTTGCTGAAAGCTCCCCGGATGGAGCCGCCCACTCTCATCTCGCCGTCCGAGACGTCCTCTAGGTCCAGCTGACAGATGGGGATTGGTCGCCGGCACAGCTGGTAGCTGACGGGCTGCTCGTTAAGCGAGACGGAGCGTGTGATGACCAGCACGTCCTGGAACAGGAACACGTGGAGCTTCTACACATGGAAGGAGAATTTCAAACGTTGGAGGCAAATATTTTTTTCACACTGCCAAATTTGTATTTTCCGCACAAAAAGCATTTGATTTTCTCAAAAGCCGACAGTGCGTAATCCGCCGATTAAGCAACGTAAAATGAATGCAATAACTTTTTTGGGTCCCTTAACACTTAGAATTAGTTACCGCCAGAAAATGTGATATTATAATAGAATAATATATGTAACATATGAAATATAGAGTTTATAATACTACATCTAGTATTTGTTTAATTATACAACTGAGAGAAAAATTATGACAACTGAAAAGAAATCTTAAAAAAAAAAAAGAAAAATCACCAAATCAATTTTGATCAATTTTCCAAAAATGTTTGTGTCATGTAAAGAAAAACAAAGACCTAAACTTGAAAAGGGTTGATACCAGTCAGTTGGGCAGTACAGGAACCTCCCCGGCAATTCGCAAATCACCAACAAACAAGGGGTCACCGTATTTCTCAACACGTTTGTCTGAGAAGGGGTTTTGAGCGTTGGCGCAGGTCGGAGACATTTATATATAAAAACGAATGGCCGGAGACTTTGACGGCGACTTGCATCTCGTCACTACTGACTGCGCTCGTTGTTGCTGAAAGCTCCCCGGATGGAGCCGCCCACTCTCATCTCGCCGTCCGAGACGTCCTCTAGGTCCAGCTGACAGATGGGGATTGGTCGCCGGCACAGCTGGTAGCTGACGGGCTGCTCGTTAAGCGAGACGGAGCGTGTGATGACCAGCACGTCCTGGAACAGGAACACGTGGAGCTTCTACACATGGAAGGAGAATTTCAAACGTTGGAGGCAAATATTTTTTTCACACTGCCAAATTTGTATTTTCCGCACAAAAAGCATTTGATTTTCTCAAAAGCCGACAGTGCGCCTTATAATCCGATACGCCTTATATGTGGATCAATATTCCGATTTCTTGGATGTAGTATTTTAAATATTCTGTAAAGCGCTTTGTTACAGCTTCAGCGGTTGTGAAAGCGCTAGATAAATAAAGCTGCAATGCATTCTATTGCATTCCCTTTAGCATAGCACCCTCTAGTGGAAGCATAACGCAACCGCAGCCACTATTGTAGCTTCTATGCGCCATATAATATGGTGCGCCCTATATCTGGAAATAGTTTTAAAATAGGCCATTCGTTGAAGGCGCGCCTTATACTCCGAAGCACCTTATAGTGCGGAAAATACGGTATTTTGATCATCATTTAGAGCCATCGTTGAACTGCAAATTGTGCAAATCCTCAGAATTTCAAAGTCCCGTTCAGGGCTGTAGTATACAAGTCCAGACTCCATTCTCGGACTTGGCCATTGCACTCGTAAAATATTTTTATCGACTCGGCCGAGTCCAAGTATGTTTTTATGCCTGAAATTTAATGTCCTCCTTCAAAATCAGCTTTCAAACAGAACGTTTTTGAGACGATCAAAATAGTCAATAGTGGTGAATCTGACGGCGAGTGCCAAGGCAAACAGTCTTTTTCTTTCTCACCAGTCCCCGGTTGTTTTTGAGCTCGCCGTGGCAACTGAGCGTCCGCGAGCGTTGGATGAGGGCGTCCCTGTGGCCCACCTCGGCGTAGAGCAGCCGGTCCTTATAGAACTGACACTCGGACTCTCCCGTGCGCCTGTTGATGTCGGCCACCACGCCCTGGACCAGCAGCATCTGTAAAAAAAATAAATAAAAAAAAAAATGTTCCCCTTGATTTGTTGGTCTTGCTGGTATCAAGCATATTTTATTTTTATTTTTTGCACAGTCAGGGGTTTTCCCTCACCCCTTGGTCCAGGTGCGGCCGGTCTGGGTGGTGCTCGGGTGTGTGCTTGAGTATCTCCCGGAGCAGCAGCGGGTATTTGACCAGTCGGCTGCGCGGGATGTCCAGGAAGTTCCACAGGTCCAACTTCCTGCTGAAGGGCGACTGCTGGCAGCGCTGCAGGAAGTCCTGCACCCGACGGTCCAGCTTCTTCTGGTCCAGCAGGGCCTTGGCCCAAACCTGGTTGCTGCAGTACGCCGTGTACGATGACAGACAGGGCAGCTGCGAGCATGCACACACACACGCGCACACACACACACACACACACACACACACACACACACGCACGAAGGCACACCATTGTTGGCCTACATTGTATGGATAGCAGCAGAATATATTTTGCCAACGATAGCAATTTTGATACGATGATCCATCTCAACATTGACGCAACCGAAGCAGATCAAATTTAAGAATATCATTTGGTTCAGTCAGTCATTTCTATCAATCCCACTCACTTGCTCTCAGTTTATGAAAAAAAAGTAACGGTGGTCAGCTTTGTTGGTGACACCGTTGTAAGCCACCACTCGTCATCCAAAGACGTCAACGTGTATTTTTGTTTTTGTCAACCGTGTGTCAAAACACATGCCTTTCCCAAAAACCCGACTGTTTTTTTCAAAAAAATTTCAAGTATACTTTGATTGCCAATCAGCTGTTTCATGAAACACATTCATTTTAAAAATATTGAACTAACTTTCATTTCCGCACTTGGCTCATGGAAACAGAGTAACAACAGCCACATTTCACACTCACCCAGCCGGTCAGGATCTGTCCGACGTGTTCTGTGGACCCGTCCGGTTTCCTGGCCTCGCAGAGCCGACTCAGCAGCTCTGAGGATGAACAAAAACGCTCCCTCAGCACTCGGGTGTCGGAATGAGAACTGGGTCAGGACGTCGTGGCTGTGCATTAACCTTCATGAAGGGGGATCAGTGAGTCCAGGGTACCGAAGATCTGGTTCAGTTCTCGCTCAGTCATGATGGACAGCTTCAGCATGGGGTCGTGGTACGCCTTCAGCACACACCCACACACGCAAACAAAGATGACACTTGGGGTTGGTTGCGTACGTAGAACACATTGTTTTGCTTACCTTTTTTGCCAATTTGAGATCCTCCACCAGATCTTGCTCGCCCTGAGCCAATTCAAAAATCGCCTGTAATGTAAACAATTTACTATTAGTATAACAGGGGGAAAAATACATTTTAAAAAAATTGTATTTTTTTCAAAAGTTTCAATCTTGGTTATTAAAATCAAAATTTGGCGGGGAGTCAAACTATTATGATTTTGTTTAAAAGTCTCACTTTTATTGAAGAAAAATGATTATGTATTGAAAGCCAGAAAAAAATGATACTCTGAAAATAATGTCTTGCTGAATCTGCCAAAATCACCCATCAATTAGTGATGTGGGCGGAACCAATTTTCTGATTGGCTGCATGACTGCTTATGTGTTCAAACAAATATTTCAGTAATTACGATTTAAATAATTGTTTATTTTTTATATCAGAGGCAGGGAAATCCAAATCACTGAGAGTTTATTTTAAAGAAATATTTATTGATAACTATAATTTTGGCACACACAAAGAAAATTAAAACTCCATGGATTGATTAAAAAAATACTATAAATTTTTTTTTTTGCTGTACTTTTCAATACTTTGCCAGAATTTGTGTAAAAGGCATGAATATGATATCAAACGTGACCTCTTGCCGTTTGATGTCTTTGGGGCTGAGCGTTTGCGCGGCCCCCAAGTGGACATCGAAGGTCTCGCTCCAGAGTTTGCTGTCGCGGCGCTTGGCGGCCGGGCCGGTCGCTGCGGCAACTCTGGACGTCGTGGAGCCAGAGGAGGAAGAAGAAGAAGAAGAAGTAGTAGTAGAGGAGGAGGAGTTGGACATGGCTACTGAGGTCACTCGCATCTTCATGGAAGAGGAGGAGGAGGGGGCAGGAGGCCGAGGAGGAGGCGGAGGCGACGGCGGAGGAGGAAGCCCTCGCTCCCTTCGGAAGCTGATGGAACGCTGGGAGAGTTGACATCCGTCAGAAAAAAAACAACAACAAAAAAAGCCAACAACAAACTGCATCCTGTTGTTTTGCTTTTGGAGGCTCACCTGCAGCGTCTGGCCGAACCTTTTGAGCGGCGCCGTCTTGATGGGCAGGAGGCCGGCCAGTGACGTCACCCTGGAGACCAACGCTTTGCTGCGCTTGGCGCTCGGTTCCTGCAAAACAACCACAGAGAAGATCGCTTGTTAATTGACAACAAAATTTTGGCTGCGACTACTAACCGAACCTGATCTTCGGCGAGGTTTACATTTGGAATGTTGCTGCGTATCAAATCAAGTACTTTCTCAACTCGTCAGCCAACAACCAGGCGGCAACTAACACTTAATTGAACTGTCTAAATGAGATGCTAGGCTAAATGCTACAGTATGACAGCGAAAAGTAACATTTTGAATGAAAAGGAATGTTTACCAAGCTGATAATAACGTAAGTAGAGTTATTATTGACTACACAATATCCGGCAAGATGTACAAACACCACGATGTGCCAGTATCACTGTGCGAAGATCTTTCTGTTCCCGCTTCCGGAGCCTAACGTGACCGTCTTCCAGTCGTGAGTTCTTTGACTTTATTTCAGCGTCGCGGCAAGATCTTTTTGCACTCATGACAGTTAAAGAGTGTTAAAAAGTTGAGAAATAAAAGAGGTATTTCAAGTGTCTTCATCAAGTATCAGTCGCTCCACGCTCTGAAAGGGTTGGCTGATGTGCTCATGCTAAGCTAATACGTTGACCTCGAACCATCCAACTCAATTGTCATCAATATTCCTTGTCAAACTTGTATTCACGGGGTAATGAAATGTAAAAAACAACATTGATGGTTTCACAAAGCCTCGCCCGGGGTAATTAACCAGTCAGCAGTTTCATGCAAAAGTCACTGTGACCTTGACCAACAACGTTTGGCACCTTGAATTGTTTTCGCTGGTCGGACGCATCATTATGTACATTTCTGGAATACATTTGCAAACATCAGGAATCCGCCGGGGGAGAATGTCAGCTGGTGTCGTTTTCCCTGAAATTGGAGTGTTTTTTTTATTTTTGAGATTTAAAAAAAGGCATTTTAAAAATAAAAAGTTCTGATATTACAAAGAAGAAGTCCTAATTGTCCCGGAACAAAATCCCAAAAGTGAAAATGTGATCACATTTTTTTTTTCTCAATAAAAAGTCGAATTAAAATTACTATTAGTGTGCGGACATTGACAGTGTGTAGCAGTGGTTCTTTTTGGCTTGTATTAGAGTTCTTTTTAGGTTAAATGTTCTGTCAAGCGCTTTTTTACAGCTGCAGTTGTTGTCAGAGCGCTAAATAAATAAACCTGGATTGTATTACATAAAGTAAATCATATAAATAAAGTAAATCATCATACTCTTTCACCTAAAAAAAAATAAATAAATAAAATTATGAAAATAAAGTTTCAAGAAAATATCTTTATTTTTTTAGAAAAGAAAGAAGAAAAAATGATATGATGAAAATAGTGACACAAAAAGTATTTTTACACAAATTAAGTCTTTTTTTTGTCAAGGGATTTTTTTTTCACAAAAATACAACCTTGCAAGAACATATTTTGATTGTCACAATCAAATGTAAAAAAAGCTCAGATTTGATCTGATCCTGTGTACATATTTGGTGAAGATAAAAATGCGTATTTTTCTGCGGAAAAAAAAAAAAAGTTGTCATTAACGAGACTAAATTGAAATGAATTTCAGGATGATGACGCCCATGCCATAAAAATGCATTTCTAACACGTGACACTGCAACAGCAAAATAAAACCGGTCTTATTTTTGTTGTTGTTGTTTTTGAGGCGTGTGATACGGTACCGGCACTTGTTTGCTCCCGCACTTGTTGACCTCCACAGACGACGCCGACTTCAAGTTGTGTAGCAGCAGACCCAAACGCCTCTGCCCGGCAACCATGATGCTCACCCCAAAACCAAACAAAGACGAGTTCGCCACCGGTTTGCGACGAGCCCGCAGCCAAGCGCACAACGACAACTCAACTCCTCTGCTGCTCCTCACAACAACATCTGGATCACAAAAGCTCAATTCCATCCCACTCAAAGCTTCTCTCTCTCTCTCTCTCTCTCTCTCTTTCTCTCTCTCTCTCTCTCTCTTTCTCTCTCTCTCTCTCTCTCTCTCTCACACACTCCCCCCCCCTCTGTGATGCTCACTCGCTCCGCTTATCAGTTTTACTTTTTCTCTGTGACTCATCACCTCGTCACTCTCTCAATGCTCCCCGTGCTTCCTTCCTTCCTTCCCACCTTTTTCTCAGAATTCGGAGGAAAAAAAAAAAGCGGCCTACTTTCCATCACAAAAGGCTCAATCTCGTGAAAATTCAGTTCCATAAAAGGAAATCACAAGAACACAGGGGAAAAAATGAGAATAATTGTTTTTTTTGTTTGTTTGTTTTGTTTTGAGAAATGTTGGGAGGATTTTAATAACTACAATAATACAATCAAATTCATATTTATACATTTAATTTAATTGATGAAGGTACTATTAAGAATTGGAAACAATACAATAAATGTGTTTTTTAAAAATGACCTTTATTAATTTTATTTTTAAAAAAGTTGTAAAATTGCAAAACTAGAATCAAGTCAGATTTTTTTCTAATAGAAAAATAATATTACAAAAATAATGTTTGTCCGTCCCCCCAACACAATATTTTATGAGGATCAAGTTGTATTCACTTTTTGATGGGACGAAGACAATGGCCGCCATTGTGTCCCCTTTGGAGCGGTCGCCATGGTTTCATGCTAGGGCAATGACTCGCCTCCAAGTCAGTGACCTTGCTGCGTGTCATGCAGCCTTCAGCTCAAAATGGCATTCTGCAGTATTTGCTTGTATTGAATCAACCGCATCGACTAAAATGACTCAAGTTGATCCGAGTCTGTAAAATAAAAGGAGTTTATTTGTCCGGCCCAGTACGAGTTGCATGAGGAGCTGCATGAAAAAGTGGCCCACAATCGCTTGCTTGCGTGCCATCCAATAATTGCTCACGGAGCATGTGACCCCACCCGTCAACATGTTCATTAAAAACACATCGATAATGAATTTAGACGACGTCAACGTCCACGCAGGGGCAACTCACGTGTCACTTTTGACAGCCGGCCTGCAAAAAAACTTGCAAAAGTGCTCACACGGATGGGCCAGGTCACTCCCTGATTAATTCACAATTTATTCAATTGAACAAAAAAGTTCATTGCACAGTATATGCAAACTAGTTTACTTGACTAAAATTTTATTTTTAAACTAAATAAATTGGTAAATTGTCTAATAAGGTGAATGAACACAAAAACACATCAAAAGATGTACATTCTTATGAACTATTTTTGGGAAAAATGGCCAAATTAAAGTACAACAAATTAATTGTAATATGGTAATTAAAATAATTTATGCACATTTTTTATTAATTTAAAATAATCAATTATCAGATCCTATAAAAAAAGTCAAAAATCATCATTTTACGAAAATGTGATGATTTGGAAATAAAATCAAAGGATCTAAATGAATCCAAATTTGTCTTCCTTTCACACACGTGTGTGTGTGTGTGTGTGTGTGTGTGTGTGTGTGTGTGTGTGTGTGTGTGTGTGTGT